AAGGTTATTCAATCCACGCAGAGTCTGCATCATTTGATACAGCTGACACTGTCGCGGACATAAACAATTAATGACCCTTTCACACGAATGTTAAGACCGTGTGTTTCTTTGATAATGTCAGTACTGACTATTGGAGGGCATTTCTCCTGTTCCTCGTGATGCACAATCCTGGATGTTTGTCAACTGTTTTGCTTCACAATCATGACACAGCAATTCAGCTGAACAGGAGAATGGAAGGAATTCGGTCAGTGACAGCTGGGGACAGCAGCAGCAAAAAATCGAAATTCGTTTCGAAATAAAATTTCATGGTGGAGTCGCATAACCAGTAGGACATAAAAGGCAGTGCCATTAAAATGAGTGGAAAAGTCTCTCAAAACAACATTGAGAGTTGAAGTAAAGCAGGAAACCAACTAAGTTTTATGACGAAGTAATTCCAGATGAACGGATGGACCGCTAAAATGTCACATTCATATCCTGTCGGTTGATCGACAGGAATACAAAATTTAAGCATTTCGTAACAGGAGAAGCATTACCACCGTTAAAAATTATGCTCAAATCTCCTGATGCCAGATTCTCAGAGTTGGGACCTCTACAGAATGATAAGATGACAAAAACGGAATACGAAAAGATTTACAAGGAGAGAACACTCTGGTTTAGCCTAGCTAAAATCAGTTCAACATTCTAAAGGTTGGCGATTCTTGTTGTACTGTAAAAAGCTGACCAATTTATTAGAAGTTTTGTCTTAAATAAGAACAGAAGCGTCTAAAATACATCCGGATGCTGAACGAGACGAATATCCCAGTCCATCGCGATGGACGTTCAGAAACATGCACTAAGAAAGTAGCTCAAAGTGCTTAGTTAACAGTCTATTCAACAATGTACACAATACTGTAACAAAGCTAATTTACCGCCTTTGCGACAGTGTACTTTACCTAGCATCAAGCCTTTTGATTAAGAAGTACATGTCAGCTACAAACACTATGGACGCAGCAACAGTACCAAATAAAAGTCGTCCGACAAACGTGTTTTCGCTGTTGAACAGATACTTGGAACAGTGATAGAAGAAAACAAACACGCCAACGACAGTGAACACCATGTTGAAGATACTGATCAACTGACGATCGATCGTCTTCAGCTCCTGCCCAAGCGAGCGCAATGCGAACGGGTCTGTTTCTGTTTTGCAGTCAATGTCTCGCGTCATGTCCCGGTATTGTCGTTCTGCCAATTCCCTCTTTAGCCTCTGCACCCGCGCTTCCAATTCAGGATTTCTCCGTGGTACCTCCGGCTGTGGTAGAAGAATCTCACAGTCCATAAGCTGTTCATGCATATGAAAATGACCACGAACACCTTTTCTAACAAGTGCCAGACTTCGAAGATCGCAGATGTCTAGTTTCAGCATTTTTCTCAGTAATCTGCGCTCATCTTCGCTCAGAACGTTATCGCATTCAAGACACTGTGCGATTTGCAGCCGAAATTTCTCATTTAGTTTAACATGTACTTCCATCTCGAAGCAAGTCATAAAATCTATCAAACTATTAAATTAATATGAAAAATATGAACAAAGAGTAAAATACATACTTATATGATTGGTCTGTATCATAGGAGTTATTCCACGACCAGCGCTGACATTTGGGGCAACGTCTAAAAGTTCATCTCTTAATTTACCGTATAGAAAGCGAAAACGTAAATTACGGATTGATATGCATTCACCAGTTAATACGTTCTCTATTAGAAAGTTACGCGACAATTTATTAATGGTATTCCTAGAGTACTATTAGAGATTAGGAGTATTTATTCGTTGTATCACAGCAAACCAGACACGGAAACAAAAACAATGAATACGAAAAAAACTCAGCTTACATTATGTTTTAAGCTTTACTAATCATCTTGCGGTTCCATAACACTGAAAAACGGCTACCGGCCACTTAAGAAAAATACAGTACATTTTCAACATGTGATCCTACTAATTACAAAACCGAAGCCGTAAATATTTCATATCTGTATTAAAATTCAACTAGTTTTGGTGAGAAGTCTTTTGGTTTGATGGTTGAACGTGCGAGAGAGGAGAAATAACTTTCAGTTACAAGAATTAAAAAGTTTTGATTGAACTGGCATCAGTCGTCATCAGGAAATTTTAGAACTATTTGGCATAAAATCTTCTATATAGTTTTAGCAAATCAAATTTAACGAAATTGCTCCTACATGATGTCGCTGTCCGCCGAACATAAAACTAACGGCATTGTCACCCGGCAGTTGTTATCACTCACTACGATTCATCATAAGGCCGACGATTAGACATAACTGCTCCGAGCGACAAATTTCTATAACCTGTACCTATCCGTCTGCGTGCAAGTCCCATGTAATTACCAGATTGGTAAAATTCTGAAACTAATCGGTCCTTTCATTCAATGACAAGGATTATGAAAAACAAAGAAAGTGTAAATCACTGCAGTGCTGACTTTACTTGTAATAAAACGTACTCCTCCCCGTCTACTCAGAGAAATGCAATCACATGTCTCGCCTTCCATTTACGAGCTTCCTTCTTTATTGTCATTTTCAACTATCGCATGCCAACATCACGGAGGCAGACACGGTCTGCTTCCAACGATTCAGTCCTGCACTACAGTCTGAGCATCGGTAGAAGAGAAGGGAACTCTGGAACACACTCCTTTTTTTACGAGCTTCATAAGTATCAGAAAAAACCAGAACCGTATCCTAATTGTGGTTGAAAACATTTCCCCGTCTTTGCATAATGCTCTGTAATTGGTTGCGCCTTTTGGTAAATATTCTGATTTTTTCCTGAGACTTTTAAATATGGAGTAATGAAAGAAGACTGTTAGTAAAATATAGATATTGGCGTATTCCAAGTTGCTTCTTAATCGCTTTGAACAGAAAATCACATTTTTCATTTAACGACGAATTTTTCATCTTTTGGAGTTTCCGTTTTTCGCAGCAAAAAATTTATTTATGACCCTGAAGCACACGTTCATTAAGTGATCAATCAAATGTTGAGAGAAAAATTTTGACTAACAGGATCACCCGTAAATCAAGAGCTCAACAATTAGTAACATGCTGCGTCGTTCTAAGTTATCTACATGGTTTTACTGGCGTGGGTTCGGTTACTTGCTACGTCAAGGTCCAAAGTATTTGAAAACCTATCGTAGTTGAACAATCTATAAACGTGACTTAGCGATAACATTATAGTGACAAATTCGGTAAATAAACAAATCCCGATAAAATGGTGGTCACTGTATGAAATTCAGAATTTTCTGACAGCACCAAAGGATCGTGTGATTGCGGAAACGTCTTGATTGAATAAGAATGCCATCATATTCTAGAGCATAATAGCACCGAGTTCTATATTGGCCCGTAGATAAGGTTTTTTTTTGGCAAACATCGCCGTTCATTGCCGCTTTACCATGTCGTTTGCTGAACACAAGCTTCGGCATGACTCATTTAGCAGTAAGACAATTGGTTCAAGTAAATAAGTCCAGAATTTTTTTAGTAGCCCATGAGCACCGACCAAAGCCTGCTGTTCCACGATGGGACAGCTGAGCATCAGCTCAAAAATTGAATACAACTTTGTTCCTCGGTGAGTTTATTTGCTTCAAATCTCATAACCATTTATTCGCTGGATAATACCAGATCACCTTTTCAATTGTCTATGCTGTAAACGTGGTAAAAATGTTCAAGCGAAATATTGAAATTTTCGATTTACTCGTTGTCCTCCATATTCTATTATTTAAATTCAAGCGATTACTGACAACTATGTTACGTAAATATAACCTACTGATCTACGCAGTAGCCTCCTGGTATCTGTAGCATAAGCTCACTGTTGCATTCTGGTTGTGTGCAATCAAGTCTTCGCGCTTTACTTAGCCGTTGACATATATTTGATATAAAGAAAACAAAGTGAAATATTTTATTCCTATACCTTCTCAGTTTCACTTCTGTTAGTAGCTGATTTTTCATTAAACAATCTGTGGCATAGAAATTTTGCGTTCGTTGCCCGTCTTTCGGACACTTTATTAAGCACAAGTGGTACTCTAGAGTGTACTCCAGAACAGCGGCTTGTTTTAGTAGTTTCATCGATCTCAGATGTAGTACCATAATGTGTTTTGTCATCGTCATTTCTGAAATGGTAGACTCTCCAAGAATTATGATATTTGACTGTCAGAAATGGTATCTCAGATATCTAGTTCATATTTTATGTCACCGTACCACTAAAGGGAATCGCTTGATCACAATGAATCAGCCACACTTAGTGCATTCATATTTTTGGCTCAGACAAATTTTGTAGTGTGGAATAGGTTAAACGTATATAAGCGAATCGTTAGCTGTACTCAAAGAGTAAATTATGTAGTAAGTGGAGAATCGATTCAGTAGTGCGTATTCGAAGAACGAAACTTTTGTATTCTTAGTCATCAGGATTCTTCAGTCTTTCCGTAAAAAGTTTCTCGAACATGTATTTCGCCGTATTTCAAGAATTACTGAATCTGTAATTTGCTTGTTTCAAGGAGGCGTTCGAAAACGTGCTC